TGCTCATAGGGGGTCATATGATTGTTGGGTTTTTTTCTCTGTATCTATGAAGCGCCTTGAGGCGACTTTTGTTGTGATTTGGCGCTATATAAATAAAATTGAATTGAATTGAATTGAATTGAACTGTGACATGCGAAATAGCAGCCCTGGTGGACGAGATGTAGCCAACTTCAAGCCCTTCAGATATTCTCCCCGAAGGGCTTTTCATCAATGCATTTGACACTAGGTCATTGGATGGTAAACCTTTTTACTTCTTTTAATGTTTCTCTTCAGACTGGGGTGTTCCCCAGCTTCTTAAACATGCCATTGTGGAACCCAGGCGCAAAAAATCCAACCTAGATAGATAGATTACTTCAACATTTTAGACCTGTCTCCAAACAATTTTTTATGTCAAAACTTTTTGAGTAGGCAGTTTTGCTGTTCACCTTACAGCATACTTGGAAAAACGCAATATCTATCACCATTTCCAATCTGGTTTTTGTAAATTGCATTCTACTGAAACAGCACTACTAAAAGTCACTAGTGACATTGTGATGTCAGCAGACTGTGGAGAATGCACACTCCTAGTCTTGTTAGACCTTACCTCAGCCTTTGACAAAGTTAATCATACCATCCTGATAAACAGACTGACAGACTAGGTTGAGATGTCTGGCTCTGTTCTAGACTGGATTTCATCAAATATATCTGAAAGGAGTTTTAGTGTGTCTGCAAAGCAGATCGTGTCTGAATCTACAGAGCTTCTGTGTGGAGTCCCTCAGGGTTCCGTGCTGGGACCTGTTCTGTTTTTAATATACATCGTTCCTTTATGCCAGATAATGCAGCAGTTTCCTGATGTATCTTGTATCATCTTTTTGCTGATGACATTCAGCTATACTACTCATTTAAGCCTTCTGAACTTCATAAGCTCTCTTCTCTAATCGACTGCTTAGCAAACATTAAATAATGGTTGAACAACAATTGCTTGCAGCTAAACGCAGACGAAACAGAAAATTTGATTTTTTCCACCATACAGTACAATGTTTGATATTAAACAGTGACCGCATGATTCAGGTTCCTCACAGAAGCATAACCTTAGAAATTCAGGTGTTATTTTTGATGAAGCATTTTCTTTGGAGGGAAATTTAAATCAAATAGTAAGAAAGTGCTTCTTTCACTTGAGGAACATTTCAAAACTTAAATCTATCATGTCAACAAGTGAATTTGAGATGATAATCCATGCTTTTGTTTCTACAAAACTCGACTACTGTAATAGTCTGTTTCCTTGTCTAAACAACAAAGGCCTAGCTCGTCTACAGGTTGTTCAAAACTCTGCAGTGAGGCTACTGGCCCACTCGAACAAGGGAGCTCATATGACTCCTGTTTTAAAGTCGCTACACTAGCAACCAATCAGATTTAGGTTCCATTTTAAAATTCTAATTTTAACCTTTAGGGCATTACAGGGACAGGCCCCTCCCTATATTGCTGATTTGATTCGTATACATACCTCTTCTCATAACCTGAGGTCATTGAATCAAAACCTTTTAGTGGTCCCCCACACTCATTTTAGTACTCAAGGGGACCAATCTTTCCAAGCTGTTGCACCCAGACTGTGGAATACACTTCCTTTATCTTTATGCTGTCTTGACTTGGTAGAGACGTTCAAAAAGCAGCTAAAGACATTTTTATTTCAAAAGGCTTTTAATTAGACATTTTAAACATTTAAACATTTTAATTATGTTTTTATGACTGGATTGTGTTTTCTACCTTTTTTATGAAGCGCCTTGTGATATATGTCTGTGAAAAGTGCTATATATATATAAACTTACTTATTTACTTACATAATCTATATTTTATTTAAATGAAATATGAGAGTATCATCTCCAACAGTGATCGGAAATCTAAGGGACCTCCTGCTGTCTACCAGCTGAGACCAAAGAAAGAAATGATTGGAACTTTGACAAGAATGACTGTTGGAGAAAAAAATCTAATCAAGACAAACAGAACCATCTTACTGGTGGGAGAAACAGGAGCAGGAAAATCTACTCTGATCAACGCTCTGCTCAACTACACCATGGGAGTGAAGTGGGAGGATGAAGTCTGGTTTATGATCACAGAGGAGGAGAGAAGAAGTCAGACATCAGATGTGATCGTGTACGAGATCTTTGGTTTTGAAGATGTAACTCTGCCCTACTCTCTGACCATCATCAATACTCCTGGATATGGAGACACCAGAGGGACTGAACGTGATGACATCATCAGTCACAGATTATTGGACCTGTTTCAATCAGATGATGGAGTCCATGAAGTTCATGCTGTGGGTTTGGTCATGAAGGCGAGTGAAAATCGACTGGGTGACCGACTGCTGTATGTCTTTGATTCAGTGATGTCTCTGTTTGGAAAGAACTTGGAGAAAAACATTGTAGCTCTGATCACACACTCAGATGGAAGCAGGCCTAAAAACCCTCTTAAAGCTCTTGAAGCTGCAGAAATTAAATGTGCCAAAAATAAGCAGAATCACCCATCCTACTTCCTGTTTAATAACTGCGAGCTTGAAGATGAGGAAGAAGAATTTCTAAAACAAAACTTTGAAAGATCAGAGAGAGGAATGAAAGAGTTCACCGACTTCCTGAGAGAAACTACACCTCTAAAGCCAGAGACAACTCCTGAAGTGTTAAAAGAAAGTATCAGACTGACAGCCTGCATCCAAAACTTGCAAGAAAGAATCAGATTCACTGAAGTGAAACAGAGAGAGATGAAACAGACTCGGGAAGCTCTGCAGAAGAATGAAGTGGTCACTCCATGTGTTGTTTTTAAACATAAAGAACCTATCAGAGCAGAGATGTGTGGGCTGGGTTTGAAAGCAGCTGTCAGCTGTACAGTCTGTGAGGAGAACTGTCACTATCCTGGATGCACGGTGCCCTTAAATCACTGTGAGGTCTTTATAGATGGTCTCTGCACGTCATGCACCAACAAGTGTCCTGCATCAGTCCATGTGAAAGGAAAGTGGAGATATGTGGCCAGGATAAGGAGCGGTCAGGAGAATGAACCACCAACAAAAGAGAAGGATGTTGATTTACTTGGAAAGGAAATGAACCGACTGACAGCTGAGAAGGAAAAGTGGCTCAATGAGTCCTACCAACATGTTGTCAGACTGGAGCAGATCGCTCTGAAAGCTGATTCAGCATCCACTACTGTCCACTTGGACTTCCTGATTGAGAAGATGAAGGAGAAAGGAGACACAGAGAAGGTCCAGAAACTGGAGGAGATGAGATGGAGAGAGGATAGAGGAACCAAAGAAGCACAGAGGTATGTCAAACTACAGCACTTACAGCAAAGTGACTGTAGTTTATAATTATTA